AAATTTTACACAAAAATGCGTATTTAATTTTTTTTTTTCGTTTTCGCAAAAATAAATAATTTTTATACTAATCATACTGTCACTGGTAATTTCTGCCCCACTTAAGGGTTAATATACACTGGTTCAAGCAAATAAGCCTTGTTCACGCGTCAATAAGTCACACGCACACACACACTTACACAAAATATGCATGTATGTGGCGTGCGCTTTGGTATGCTTGCAACAAAACCGTAACTTTTGCACTTCAACTACGTTAAAAGTTCTCCACTCGTTAACTACCTGCTTGCGCTTAAATATTACTTACAATTGCACCAAAGGGCCACTTAACGCTGCTTACTCTGCTGACTGTTTGCTCAGCCGAACACTCCACTGCGCGCTGCGTGCCAGCAAGTGCGTGTTGATTTTAGCCAACGAAAGGCGCCTCCACCTTCACCAGGGCGCCGACAGCCAATGAAGTCGCCGCCGCCGTCACCGGCATTGGTATCGTCAGCGCGCTGATGCTGCCAATTTTCACCGCCGACGGCGTTGGTGACGAGCAGAGGAAACGTCGCTGCTGCTGTAGCTGTTCGTGCTGTTGTGCCGTCGGCGTTAGCGGATAATCTTCGACGGATGGTGATGGTGAGACCATATCATTGCTCAAGTCACTATCGAACTGCATGTCCGCCTCGTCCTTGAGGCATGCCGACTCGAGATGCTTATTGAGGTACGACTTGAGCGCGAATGTCTTGTGACAGCGTTTACACTCGAAATTCTTATCGATAGAATGCGTTTGCATGTGTGCACGCAAATTGGAACGGTCCGCAAAGGCTTTGCCACAATGCGCACAACCGTAGGGCTTCTCACCGGTGTGCGAGCGTAGATGGCCCTGCAGCAGCCAAGGGCGCGAGAAGAGCTTGCCGCAGACATCGCAGCTGTGCGATAGCTTGTGCGTGAGCAAGTGCATGGCGAGCGCAGGCATCGAAACGTACGCCTTGCCGCAGGTGTGACACTTTTTGGCCGATTGCGAGTCGAGCGAGCGATGTGTCTGCTTGTGACGCGACAGATTACTCGATGTGGCATACTGCTTGCCACATTCGGTGCATGTGTACTTTGCGCGTTGCTGATCTTGCTGCACCACAGCCGCCGGGTCCGCCACATGCTTGCGCTTCGAACGGCCGTCGCTCACAAAGAAGGCTTCGTAGGTGTAGGCGACCGTTTTGTTGGCGCCATTCGCTGATGCTGGCAACTGTAGCGCCGTTAGTTGATTTGTGGTATTGCTGTTCTCATTCTGCACGCTGCTTGCCGGCGAGCTCGGCTGTCGATCGCTATCACTGGCACTTAAAACACTTTGCAGTGAGGCCGTGCTTCTGGGGCGCTGTTCGTTGGCGACGCAAGCCGCGGCCGCCAGATCAGCAATGGATGCGCCCGTGTGTTGCATGCTCGCTGCTGCGGCATCATGTTGTTGTTGCAGCTGTATCGCGTGTGTGATGTGATGTAACGGATGTTGCTGTTGGTGTGTCGTAGACGGCGCCACTGCTGTCTCTTGCAGCTGCAGCGGTTGCGGCTGTTGCAGCTGGTGTGGCTGTATTGGCGGATGGAAGGCTGTGGAAGCACTCAAATCGAGTATGGCGTGTGCGGCATGCAGATCCTCTTCCGCTGGTATACGCAAACTCTCGTAGGACGTGCGCAAACGCTCGACACTCGGCCTGTCGTCCAGCGAGTATGGACGGTAGATGTCTTTCTTTTTGGGTGGCAGCGACAGCGCCGCGCCAGTGCTGGTGAAGCACATTGCCAACGATTTATTGCGCAATACGCTCGACTCGCTAGTTACTCGGTTGTTGTTGTTGCTGTTGTGGTGTTGTTGTGCATGCTCATCGCTTGGCGCTTCGGTTTTGATGCGTATCATGGGCGGACTAAGGCGTTCACTGCTGTGACTACTGCTACTACTACTGCTGCTGCTATTGTTGTTGTGGTTTTGGCTGCTGTGACTCGTTGGCGATGCTGAAGGCGAGGAGGCGGTCGAAGGCGGCGGCGTGTGCACAAATGACGAATACGGATGTGCGTGCGGGAGCGTTGGTAGGCTGTGATGTCCAGTGACGCCAGCAGCAGCAGCTGCAGCTGCCGCCGCCGCCGCTGCCGCAACGGCATTTGTAATTACAGTAACTTCACCATTTTCCATTCGTGGCAGGTACGCTGTGTAGTGCATGGGCGAAGCTTCATGGCCGAAACCTGTAAATGCACGGAAAGCGAAAGAACGAGTGAGAAAGAGCGATAGAGAGTGAGATGATGATAGTTTTACCGTTCATGGGAAGGAGTGCGCTGAGTAAAGGGAATTTTTAATTTTACTCTTGCTGGCCATAAAATCAATAAAAACACCGAAATGGGCGAATGCAGTAAATTCGGAAAATCTGCACGCCAAATGCGGAGATAGACAGCGCAGTCAACCGACACAGCGACACCCATGGCTGCACTAAGGCGCAATGTGCATGTAGTACCTGTGTGTGTGTTGGAAATTTTGGCAAAGTGCCAAATATATGTACTTTAGTTAGCGGCAACATGCTTGCACTACAGTGTTGCTCTGCGCTGTGGAGCAATAGTTTTCGTTGCTGGCGGGCGCTAGTGTGCGGGGAAAATATGCATACAAATATACATGTGTTCATATATGTATATATCTTTGTACGCAAGTATGTTTGTGCTGGAATTTTGAATTATCTACGTGTAATGTTATTTAAACAGCTCGGCAGGCATCACATAAACGTATAATGAAAAATTATTGATTTTAGTTGGACGCTGAAATGATTAAAATTATTAATATGCCAAGCAAGCGCTTAGAATTTAGAGAGAAAGTCGCATAAAAATAACCAACTTTTCAAATTTTTTAATTGAAAAATGGAAACATTTTCGTATATAGGGTTACTTTTTTTACCAAATGCCTCAAGCGCCAAAATGTAGGCAATAAAAGATGTCTATGAACTTATGAAAGTGGAACATTTTTGAAAAACAAGTGCACCTATTTGCAAAATATAAAAAATAATTATGGCAATATGTTCATATCGTATATATCGTATATATCGTCGCCTAAAATGCATAATAATGTTACATCACTTTTCATAAGTTTGCGGGCGAAGGAAAAACGATATAATAGAAACCACTTATATTGAAACTAAATTTGAGTTTTGGTTACAAAATGGTTATGTATTGGTCATGTAAGATACCGGGATGTTAAAATTTTACGATACATGTATGCAATATAAAGAACTGAATTTCCATTTCTTTTGAAACAAGTTTGATTTATATATTGGTTATATCTGACAGTGAAAAGTAACAATTTTGTGATATACATATGTGTTTAATCTGACAGCTCTATTCGGATTTCGTTTGATGATATGTAGATCTGCATTTCAAGTGATGATATGTATTTTTATTTATTTCGAAATTCCTAGAACGCCAAAATGTATGCAACAAAAAATAAATATGGAAATTTTGGAACAATTTTGAAAAGCAAATGAAACAAATTTCAAATTATAAAAATGAAAATGAAAATGAAAATATGTGCATATATACTTATGTATGTATATATTTTATTTCGAAATGTCACAAGCGCTGAAATGTAGGCAACATAAATTGTATATGAATGGATTTTGCTTGAAATATATCGAAAATTAAGTGAAATAATTTTCATAGATTATACATTTGCTAAACCTTTATTATTATCAACTAGATAATTTTTAATTTTCTCTCATAATATCTAAAACCAAAATAATTTCTCAAAAAAATGTGTCTATAAAAATAAAAACTATCAATCAAACTATTTCAAAATGGAGAAAATCAACACATTAGATTAAGCTTGTTGTTTAATGAATACCTTATTTGAGGTAAGTTTTTTTAGTTAAGACTTTAAAATCCGAAAAAAAATTCTGTTAAAGCAGGAATCATCTTTAAAGCTTTGAATGGACAGGTTTATAAGACTGTATCTTATATGAATATGATCAGATTAACTAAGGTTACTTTGTATAGAGATAGAGAGGATGCTACCACATATAATGACCTTAAAATTACTAAGCGATAAAGCCGTTATATTTTCAAAACTATATCTCTTTTCAAAAAGCACAATTTTTAAGGCTGATTTTGATACGGTTATGGAGAGTTTAATAAATTTTTCCATTTATAGCGCTTGATAGTATACAGTAAACTTAAACTTATTAAGCGTTAAAGTCGTTATTTTTTCAAAACTAACTTTATTTGCAAAATATTATATTTAATTTTTTTTTTTTATATTTAATCAAAAAATTTAACACATTTATAGCAAAGCCTTTAAATTAGGCTATATAATTTTTGGAAACAGAGAAAGGTGAGAGCGGAATGAAACACTTTGGAAAAGAAACACGAAGAAACACTAAAAGCGAAAACTATTTACGAGCTTTCTGAGGCCGGGAAAGGAAAAACAAGGGGTTTGGTTGAATTTTAAAGCCTCAAAATCGGCTTATTTAAATGTCTTTTTCACATAACCACAAAATCTGTCGAGGATTTTGCTTGAAATTTCAAGTATTAAAAAATGGTTTATCTCGATTTCCAGCGAAACTATGAGTTTTCTCTGTAAATTTCTAAGTAATGAAAATATGTATAATTTTTATAACATTACATAAAAATTTAAAATTTTTATTGCACTTTTTTTTCTTCCTCGAAGATTTCAGTAGTGGCATTCAAAAAACTTGAAACTTTTCAACTTTTTGTCCAAAAGCGAATAAGTAATTAAAGTATTAGAGAAAACCAGAAAATGTGCTGCGTTAGGATAGTAAGACGCCTGTTCCAAGATAACTTTTGCGCTAAAGTGACGTCAGAATGTCAGCTGATATTATTAGTTTGCCTTAAAATCGAATATCAAGAAGGTTAATGTGCAAAATATCCTCTAGTATTTCTTTCTGATATTTTTTTTCCAATTATTCTGTAATTTTTTTTTTTTTTTTTTTTTTTTTTTTTTTTTTTTTTTTTTTTTTTTTTTTTTTTTTTTTTTTTTTTTTTTTTTTTTTTTTGGATACCTTAGCATTCAATAGGGAGTATTTTGTTTTTTTTTTAATTTTCAAATAAAGGCCCACAAATATGATTAAACAGCAGTGGCTTTATCAGTTTCTGAAAACTGCAAGGTTTCTATAAGAAACATTTTCTGAAAATAAGTCGCATTATTTCAAATTTTACAAAAAGTAACAAAGAATTCTTACGTTATATATGAGTTGAAATTGCAACTCAAGCCTCTCAAATCCATTGTCCTTACATACTCTCCCTCCTAGCACTACTATTGCCCGGCACTTGTGGTCAGCGTAATTGCCGCCGCGTGGCATTTGAGAGATAGCAAAGCCGCCTAAGCAATCACATGACAAGTAGCACGATATATATCTTTACATTTGTATATATGGTTGTAACCGGCATTGCAACATCAAAATAAAAACATAAAACTATAAAAAGGCCATACAAACGTCTAACCCCATTTTTGTTCATATCAATTGCCAGCCACGCGCACCGCATAAGTAGTCATTGCTGCCACATAGCAGCGCGATTTGCGGCGTTGCATGGCAAACTAATAAAATATGTAGCAATAACGGTGCTATGGTAGCAAGGATGCCACGGGCCGCCAGATATGCGATTTGCCACGGCCACGGCGACGCGGCAGCCTTAATGCGCCGTAACAACATAAAGTACATCCTGATTTTCATTTGTGAAAAATGGCTTTGGGAGCGCCACACACATGAACACACATACATGCGCGCTTGGAAATTTATTTGTGCGCGCTTTAAAGCACCGTTAGGCAAATATTCGATGGCCAGACATTAGTCGTCGCCTATGAACGACTGACAGCTTACAGTTAGATATGTGTTACGCTGTTGATTGCGCCGTGTTGCGCGGATGTACAGCTGACAGGACACTGCGGCGCTGCTGGGAGCTGAGGCGGGTGTGAAAAATATGTTAGAAAAGTATGTGAGTGCATGAATGCCAGTCAGCCAGCCAGCCTACAATGTGTAAAAGTTTATATTTTTCTGCACACATAAGCATGTGTGTGTATTTACATGTATGTGTGTGCGCTAAAGTGTCTGTATAAACTTTAATTAAGCAACTGCAGGGTTGTTATGAAGATTTATGCAAGTGACATGTGTCACATTCTGGGTCAACATGCGATGCGCATAACTCATGACAGGCTTAAAATTAAATATTTCAGCAGCAGCGCAACAAATGCGACGGCCCAACAAACATACATACACATACATACACATGCATATGTCTGTTGGCAACTGTATACTTTCAGCTATAACTGCAAATGCATGCTGGCGCGCCTGTGTGCGTGTTGGTGTGACTGGGCGGAGAAAATATTAGCAACAGGGTTGCACGCCTAAAAGTATGCACTAAAAATTCTCTATGAGTTTTTATATGCATGCTCATGCATTTTGAGTACTTCTGTGTAAGTGAATACTAACACAGGCGCATATACACACAGACACTCACAATCATATACATATGTATCTGTTGTTGGAATGTGTGCTTGTACAATAGCAGCAGCAACAACAACAATTACTGTCTGGCTTGCCATCCGGTTGTTGCATTTATGGCATGCATTGCAACATTGTGGCGATGGCAGCAAATTTAAAGGCAAAGTAATGAAAAAATAGTGATAAAATTGCAAAAAAAAAATACCATGCATAATGCTCTGCTTGTATTTGGTTTGCATTTTAAAGATTTTGATGAGGGTTTTTCACATAGAACAAGAAGAAATTTTAACTTTGCGGCACCCATGCTATAATACCCTACACAGCTGCTTTTCTTATGGCATAGAGGATAAAAAAATATTTATCTAGATATCCAGTGGTCAGTTTATATGGCAGCTATATCTTATAGTGGGTCTATCTGAAAAATTTTCGCTGACAGTATAGCGTTGCTTTAGAAAATTGTTCATGCCAAATTTTATGCAGATAACTCGTTAAACAAAAAAGCTTTAATTTTGATAGATCAGTTTGTGTTGCAGCTGTATGGTACAAAGATCCGATCTAAACAATCTACACACATATTATTGCGCTGCTTTTGATAATAGTCTGAGTCGAATTTTGGGAAGATATTATGTCAAATAAAAATGTTTTCCATACAAGAGCCTGATTTTGGCTGAGCAGTTTGTAAAAAAAAAGGTTGCAAAATTTCAGATCGTTATCTCAAAAACTGAGAGATTTTTTTGTGTTGTTTGTAAG